TGAAAAAGTCAGTCTTGCTTTTCAAAAATATCATGTTAATTTACTGCAATTAATGGAAACTGTATACCAGGCAGGTAGGGTAGGAGCAAGGGTGGAGGGGGTAGTCCGGTTGGGGAAGCTGCCTGGATGCCTGCTTGTGTGTGCCTGGTAGCTGGGGGCTCTGCTGGCTTAAAAAAGCTGGCCAGTTTCCTTCCATTGATGGCAGTGGAATCCTTGGGCAGCGCCCCCCAAGCCCCCAGGCACACCCCCCATCCCCACGGCCACCTCCCACTCCAAATGAGCCTGGCATACATAAAACCCTGGCCCAATGCCACCAAAGGAAAGAATTTGACCAGTTCTTTAAAAGTGGCAGACAACTGCTCCCAGTGCCCCAACCCAGGGATTTCTGCAATCAAGTGCCGGCAACAGAGGTTGAGAGCTATCAGAGGAGCCAGTTGCCCTGTAAAGGTTGGGTTGGGTTGAGAAGTACTGCGGTGTAGGATGCCTGGAGGACTAACCCACACTAGTCATGGAAAGTTGGGTGTCTGCACATAACAATGACCTAGCTCACAGAGAACCAGTTGAAACCATTCTAAACTGATTTGTAAGTCTGGACACTAGAGGTTTAAGTGTTGTATCTGTCCACACCCTTAAATTACATTTGGTGCTTAAAGGTTAAAAGGTTATAAAATTTGGGAAATATGATGATGTTTTAGAATAGCAAGCCAAATACTTGACTGCAGGACAGGTGAAGGTAGATCCCACTCAGTATAATTCAAAGGGTGAACGAGTGAGTGTGTGCTTTGGGAATACTGGGACATTGCTCAAAGGAGAAAGAGTAAGAGCTACGGGGGAAAACGTCTTAAGTCTGGTTCCCTGTTTTCTTCAGTTTGAATTTCCATGAACTTGACAGTGAAAAGACACAAAATGCCACATCTTGTCTGTGCTTTCACAGTTTTGTTTTCGTTTTATTTTTGTTTTAAGGACACAAAACGGATATTTGCAGAAGTTTGAAATTATTTAGGAAGTTGTATTTATCATATAAGTTTGCAGTTGAGATGTTATCATGGGCAGGCAAGATGAAGGATGATATACATGTTTTAAGTGCACTTCCTAAGTCCTGTACAATTTTGTATCATGGAATGGAGATAATGGTCACAAGTTACTTAAGAGTAGAGAGTTGCTGCAAATAAACACCCAGTGTGGGAAATCACAGACAGTCTATGCCTCAATTATGTTTGTGAAGCCCTTGGAAATGACAATGATAAGTACCATCATGAGGAAATTCTATCAGAAGAAATCTGGAACAGCAGGTGGTAAGTAGGCCTAAACCACACACATATAATAAGGATAAGACAAAATTCTGAATAACCTGTTCATTAATTAAGCACTGTCTATTATGCCCACTGAATGAGACAGAGATCCTACAGGAAAAAATAGTAAGAGACCATTTAATTAAAGACTGTCTAACGCATATACACAAGGGAGCTACACTGCTGTTACAAAGGCCATTTTAATTTTGGCTTCCTGGAATTTGTAGTCCTTGAGTTTACAAACTTAAGGGTGTTGGTTCTTTTAAACATAGGGTTTTGTGTGTGCAACAAAAGTCACACCATATCAGCTACGTAGGTCCATGCCACGTGTGGTAGTCATCAGTTTACACCTCATAGCATGAGGACTTCTAACGTTTATACTCCTGAAACTTTTAATAAGGTGGTCTGTTAGTGCCATTTCAATGCATGTTTACTTCAAATACATATACACAACATGAAGGTCTTTTAAAAAAGGCCAATAGCTTAAGCCTCATCAACTGCTTTGAATAATTGGGAGTCTGTATGAACACAAACAGATCAATGCACGATTGACTCGTTTTGTTATTCAAGATGCACTGGTGCAATGACTATTGGCTCATCTGGAACTAGAATAAGACAACTATATCATTTCACACAAGTAATTCAGAGCGTAAATTTTGGCCAATAGTGGCTTATGTTTCATTTGATCCTAAAGATAAATGAAAGGTGGCAATCGCTTACTGCTCAGTAGACACAGCTTGTTCATTTGTAGGGTGACATTTCAGAAACTGCAAGTAATGGCTTTCTTGTACTGTAGGAAATGGGAGTTCTCTCTGACTTCATTGGGTGTAGAATTAGGGCTACCCTGAGTATTTTAAACCTCTCATACATGCAGTCATTGACATACAGATTCTCCCCTCACCCCACCCTTCCCCAAAAAAGAAAAAACACACACGAAAGTTTAAAAATAAAAAATATTTACAAAATTCACCAGACTTGTTTCATCCCTCATGGGCAGCCCTACCACTGATTAAAGACATTATGTGATTCAGGGAATAATTTGGAAGATACTGGAATATCTCTACCTCTTGCTGATTGAACAAAGGTCCTATAAGATTCATTCTGATTATACCCAAAATTATCTTGACCACTTATCACCAGTCAAATACCTGCTCTATTTGTATGTCCCTATGTTTGAAGTGGTACATGCTTAAGATGTACTAGTTCAATTGATCTTTCATTCTTAGCAAGTAAAACAACATTAACGTGGAGGAAAGGGCAATTTACCTGCTACACTTTCATAAGAGACAGAGATACAATTTAGCTTTAGATAATCCATGGGCTCAAGACATTCCCTGGAAGTTAGTCCTCTTTTTCAGGCTAAGAAAAGTTAGAAAATACACTACTTAGCACCCAAGCGCCCCAGAAAGTTGTTGAAAGTATAAAATGACTTCTCATTGAGTTCATGAGGTTAACCCACACCTGCTCTTCAGTGACAAGGGAAAAATCCACAGGGTTGAATGATTTTTCAAGCCTGTGGAGCAGTCATGATGTCGGAAATGTTGCAGGAAGAACAGAACACTTCGGCAATCAGTGCTGCTCTTCGGCAGTCAAACATCAAATGGGATGGTGCAAAGTGGAAAAAAAGTGTTGGTGAAGAGGAGAGCGCAAAGATGAAACAGTGCATTTTTGGTAAAAGTTCCTGTTTTGTGGGATAACTGGTGTTCAATACGACTATGGAAAAAAGTGGCAATTTTAAATGATAACTGATCAAAATGGACAACAACATAGCACTGTATTTTGTTTTTAGCCAGAGAACTGGGGGAATGGTTGTTAACCACAAAAGGCAAAATGGACCTTATTTTATGTGGAAAGCATACATTTACCTGACAAACAGCATAAAGAGGAAGTTACTATTTCTTCCTCCTCTTTCAGGGGTGTCTTGCAAAGCACAGTTTGTGCACATAGTTATCAGCAAAGACCTCCCTGACCAGACACCCAATTTTCAGTAGTCTGTGATTTTTGTTTCTTTGGAAACATACTTGGCCCACTCAAAGGGCAGTTCTCTTCACTTGTCATGAGCTAATAAAATTCTAGGCACTGGCCCCAAATGTTCATTTAAGGTCTAACCCACAGGATCCTGGGCTCCCCTCTCTCCATACCAACCCATTTTATAGTCAGAGAAAATACTTACCTCTAAAAGTTCATCACCAATATGCATTCTTCCATCTCTCCCTGCTGGGCCACTGGGATTGATGCCAACCACAAAGATGCTCATACGAGACCTGTCCTTGTTACCAGCAAGGCTGAGTCCAAGCCCATTCTTATCTTTTTCAAGCTCGATAATGTGCAATTCTCCTGGCAGATCAGCATATCTTTGCCTGATTTTCTCTACAGAAGGGTAAATAGATACAAAATAAATTATCTAAGAATACACAGAGATATGCTACACATCATCACTTCTCAAAATCATTGGCTCATTTAGTCTATGACATCTGGGGTAATCCCAGAATAGGTCTTAAATAAAATTTGCCATGAGATCCAGGATTATACTCTTTTCTTCCCCTCCACCCCCTCCTATGTATAATCTATATCTAGAAATTGATGAGTCTGCTATAGTCTCTGAGCTATAGAACATGCCTGGCCTGTTACATATAAATATCCTAGGTTCAATCCTTATTGTAAATGATCCATCCGGAGTCCTCATATTGTGCAGGCATTATGATACTGCTTCTGAAATGAGGTATTATTTATATACCATATGGATTCAGAAACAACATTGATTATATTAAATGGCTGAGATCCCAACATACTTGTATACATTGCATTCCTTCTAATACTAAGGTGTTTTTTTTTTAAAAGAACAGTTCAACAGTAGAGATATAGATCTGGATGTCATCTTGTCAGATTCAGAAAACTGAAATAAACAGACTTGAATTATTAAGCATTGTAGACAAATAGAAGGGAAAATGCTTTCAAAGTAAATGCCCTTACTGTAATGCCTTGAAGGATGACTTTCAATCCTTATCTTTCTGCAGTTATGATTCCTGTTTCTGTGCTAATGTTTCAGGCATACAGCTATAGTACACTCCAGGAGACGACATTACCATGTGGCATTCCCAAGACAGATATTCATTACGGGTGCATTTGAACTAAATCACTTTTTAAAATCTTTAAATTAACAGTTATTTCTTTTGCATCAACCGTTTTCTCATTCATAGTGCAGAATGCTATAGCTTTTTAAAGTTATGGGATCTCTACAGTTAGATTTGAATAAACAAATGTGCTGACAGCAAACATTTCTATTTATGTACAGGTCTTCTCACTCCAGGAAACAAATTTCCAGTTCCTACACGTAAAGGTCAGTCACCAAAAGTTTCATGTTCCTTGCTGTCCCTTGATATTGGGTTTCAAACTATTCAAAAGATAGTTTCTCATATCAGCCAAATCCAACATTTCAGTAGGGAAAGGCATTAAAGAGCAAACAGAAATACTTAACTGTGACTGGATATCACCTTTACCAAGCAGCCCAAGGTGAAAGACTGATGCATTATACATTAAGAGGAGCAAGGAAAGATATTATATGTACGACTGTATCCCTGAGTCAGCACTAGCATCTAGGTCAATATTAGCTATTACCATTCTACTACAGGAAAATGTATGTTAGCAGTACAATTTAACTGCTACTAGTGGATGTTTCCAAGGCAACAGGGAGGGGGAAGATCTGAGACAGGTGAGAGACTACAAAATAAAAAAAGTGAATAAAAATAGCTGAAAAAGCATTTAGCATAGAGCCGCAAGAGCTTGATCCCTGCAATTAACACTCAGCTTCCAGTAGCTTCACTGATTCCCTAGCCCCATGTCCAATCATACAAAAAATGCATAATTATTACCCACCTATATTTACAGATTGAAATTAGTGCACTTTAACCACCATTATAAAATTAGCAAAACTTCAAAGAGCTGTAACTGTCAGTTAAGTGCTGATGACTGAGCTGTCTAAAGCCACTGTCTGCTTTCCTAGAGAGAGAGGGTGAGAACCAGTAAGAGTTAACTTCGGAAAAAATGGCTCAGTACTTCAGTTATTAGGTGGCAGACCTAGAGTTAAGCAAATGCTTCCTTCTGTTTACATCTATTATTCATATCTGTTCAGCTGATTTTCTGTAATGCATTTGAAGCATGAAAAATGCTGTCTTTGGGATACTGCAGGCAGTTAAGTAAATATGAAAACAAGAGCCAATTAAAAACTCAGCGAAGAGGTTAGATGGCATTGGCGACTGCCAGTTCTCTTTAGCAGATTGGCCTTAAAAGGAGATCACAGTGTCAGGTGTATTGGGCTCAGCAAGGAACCATCCAACTCATCCGGGTCCAAGTTCCCTCTCTGACTCCACCACCTAGCCCACAAAGGATGTTACACTAATGACGTGACTTCAGTATTTAGCTCTGTAGATCTTAAGAAGCTTCACTGAACTCTTGCTGACTTTAGCCAACTCAATCTCCCTTCAAGCCTACGAAGTAAATTTGAACTAAAGGGTGAAATGTTTGGATTTTTCAATGCCTACATGGTCAGAATAACTTAACTTGAATATGGACAACTGGTGGGCAGCTCCTGCCCTGGATATGTGCTTGACCAAGTCATCATCAATATGAAACCAGGGGAAAAAGGTATCATATGACTATCACTATTGTTTAAACAGTTCTGTAGCTTTCAATTTTAACCCTGCCTCAAAAACCTGAGTTTAAATGGGAAACTTAGCAAAGCCCTGGTTTCTAGAGGCAAAAGAGTTCTAAATCCTGCTGTGCTACACTCAGTTCTGCACCCATGTTATAGCATTTCCCCCCAGTCTTTTTCAACTTAGTAGCCTAGCACATGGTGAGCCTCTTCTGTTGCATCTGGTCGGCACTACCAACACTGACAGGGTGAGCCATGCTCTCCTCCACAGTAACCTCTCCAAATAACTTCTCAGATTCTGAAACTCGTTCTTTCTCATTCAGATTCACTGGATCCCGCTCAGTTAGATATGGGTTCTGCCAAAAGCACAAACTAGGTTTCAAAATCTAGGTTCATCATGCCTATGACCACTCCATCACTCCAAACTTCATTGTGGATTCAGTACCAAAACTAGGTGGTAACAGGACAGACAAATCCACTTCATCTCATTTTACTGATCTCAGATTAACTCCCCCCACAAAAAAACAACCATCAACCAACAAACAAACAGAAATTGGCAATCCAGATTTCTATAAATTATCTCCATCCATGGAATTACAATGCTGAAAACCTGTTTTCCAGACAGAAGAACAAAAGACAGCCTACAGACCAGATCAGATTCCAGTCTGGTTGAGCTACAATCTGTGAGGACTCAGAAAGAAGTCAAATGTGCTAGTGCAATTTTCAGTTTCCCAGATCTTCTGAAAGTGTCAAAAGACACCCTAGCATGGGCTGAATCAGCAAAAGGTCTGCTCCAGTGTGGCCCTCTCAGGACTACTCTGCTAGCTGGGAACCGCAGTCACACATGCTGAACTTTCCATCATCTCACAACAGACAAATCAATGCACAAAAAGAGCTAGTTATGCCAGCTGTAGGTCACCCAGTGAACCCCCAACCTCTGTGTAACATTTGATTGCTTGTCAGGTCAGTCTGAATAGGGGGACAGATCCAATAGTCAGGTTTTGGCTCTTAATGTAAAAGAAAGAGAGCAGACCTCCACAAAGCTTCTCTATAAAAGTCAAAATACCATAAAGAATATGGACACATTTTTTATTACAAGTCATACTTCCAGATTTGCATAGTTGCACTGAGCAGTAACACAGCATCAAGCTATATTTTTAGTTTTAATATCAACTGATGCAGTACATTTACAAGCGACTTGGGATGTGCTTTGCTAGGCGCCATTGGGAACTGGTAGTCTTTCTTTTTAATAAGCAAGCTTTCAGGTTCAAAAACCCTTTGTCAACGTGACGAAGGGTTTTTGAACCCAAAAGCTTGCTTAATAATTGTTTTCCAACTATTTAAGTTGGTCTAATAAAAGGTAGCAGATTCACCCAAAGAACCTTTCCTACCTATGTCCTTAGACCAACACGGCTACAACCTACACCCCTTAAATACAGGTCTGCACCCAGAGGCCTCCCATAGATTCCAGTCATCCAGGTAAAGGGAAAACTCAGTGCTCTGGAAAGGTGTTCTTGACCCGTTACTGCTCTCTGGTACAGTTCATTCTACTACTCATTTGGTATGCCAAACACATCTGCTTTTCATTTGCTAAAAGCAAAACAGAACTGTACAAGCATACTTCTTAAGCTACTCCCAACTAGTCGCCTAGAGCGGCAGCTAAGGGACAATGAGAGCACACGCACACATGCAGAGAACACTGTACAGCATCTCTTTAGGGACCGCATCAAAACTCACTTCTTGTCAGGAAGATCCAGCAAAACTTTCTTTTTCAAGCCTGATATTAGATGAGGCACTGTTACAGGAAGCATGATGACTGTTTGATCAAACCAATGTCCAGAGTATAGCATTAGGGACAATCAATTCCATGTGCAGCCTTGTATTTTACTCTGATCTGGGGGGGAGGGTTTTGCTGTCCCATGAAAACTTTAGATTCCAAAAATGTCCCTGTTCCTCGCTGGGCTGAAAACAAGACTTCTGATGTTCTTGTAGAGGGGGAGGGCTCCCAACCTGAATAGTCAGTCGTTCAGCAGTTAAGGCATGCAGCTAGGATGCAGGGTAAAGAAAGGAAGGCAAGGAGCACATGTAACACCCCAAAGCAGCCTAACAGTCGTTATGGTGGCATTCATCTGGGATATAGGAACTCCCATGTCAAGCCTCTGATCTGCCTAATTCAGTGAGATCCCTTGACAGCAGTCAATTGGCTGTTTTAGGGTCTTAGGCTTCCTTGCTAGAGCTGTTTGATTAAAAAATTACATATTCACAAGGTAAGAAAGACTGGAACTGTCAACAGACCAATGTTAAAGAGGAAAAAGTGTTAAAAAGTTGATGTGGTAAAGGGACCATTTCTTTTTTCTCCTCTGTTGCTGTGCAAAAAGCCCATGTACACAGAGAAACCTCCTCTACAGAGAATGTGCTCTTCATGAAATTACCATGCCCATTTAGGAAGCAATCATTTGAAACAGTGTCCCTGCTGAGGAGACTAGAGGAGTAAAATGATGAAAGATTACAAAAACTGGGAGGAAATACAGAGTGCAATTCATGTGCTGAATGCCCCTCCCTAGCTCAGGGCGAGCGTACATTCATCATGCGCTGCTGCAGTTGATACAGTTTGCGTCTGTGTGTCTACACGTGCGCATGTGCGCACATATGCGCATGCACACACGCACATATTCTTTTGTTTTATTTTTTAAAAGCAATGCTGAGCTCAGCAGAGTAC